GTCTAAACCACTGAGCCTCTTGGGCTTGCCGATCAGAAGGTCGGCAGTTCAAATCCTCATGACGGAGTGAGCGTCCGTTGCTCTGCCCCAGCTCCTGCCAACCTAGCAGTTTGAAAGCACGCCAGTGCAAGTAGATAAATAGGTACCGTTGTGGTGGGAAGGTAAACGACATTTCCATGCCTTCTAGCTTACGTCACGGTATCTTGTTGTGCCAGAAGCAGTTTAGTCACTGCTGTCACATGACCTGGAAAGCTGTCTGTGGACAAACACCGGCACCCTCGGCCTGAAAGCAAGATGAGCACCACACCCCATAGTTGCCTTTGACTGGACTTAACCATCCAGGGGTCCTTTACAGTATAGATGCTCAACAGCAGTAGTCTTTTCAGACCTGGAACCTCTTCTTAGTCTAAGCATGTTTTTCTTATTCTCCTGCTACTCCCCAATTTATTTGTATGGTAAATAATTTTTTATGGTAAATAAATGTATTTATTTGTACCAACCCTTTATAGCAGTTCTCAGGCTTTTACTTGTGCAACCTCTTGAAACAAGCCTTTACACTAGTGGAGTATTGCACTAGTGGGTTTAGCTTCACTTGCCTCAGCAACCCTCCAGGATGAGGTACAGTTTCTGTCACACATTGGACACTGCCCTCATTTGCACCTTAACATTCCTAAGGAAAATTGGTTGTTCTAACGTATTTAAAAAGTTCTTCTCTCCACACACACAATATATATATATATTTGGCATTTAGCCGCTAAATCACTGGGAATTCATAATTCTGTGTAGTACTACTTGATGCTAGAGAACTCAAGTTCACAGGATAATCAGTTAGATACAGTGGTACCTCGAGTTACAAACGCCTCAGGTTACAAACACTTCAGGTTACAAACTCCGCCAACCTGGAAGAGTTACCTTGAGTTGAGAACTTTGCCCCAGGATGAGAACGGAATTCGTGTGCCAGCAGCGCAGCAGCAGCAAGAGGCCCCATTAGCAAAAGCACGCCTCTGGTTAAGAACAGTTTCAGGTTAAGAACGGACCTCCAGAACGAATTAAGTTCGTAACTAGAGGTACCACTGTATATAACAATAGGCAGGTTATACACAATCACTATATTTATGGCCTTAGCTGCTGCATCAGCTAGAATACGTACATTTAATCTTTTGCTACAAACATATTTTTAGAGCCAATTGTTTGTTTTCGCTTAAAAAAACAACCAACAGCTGCAAACTACACCCATTTTGTTCTGTGGATTTTATATTGATTTTAAATTGTTAACAGGTTTTTCTGCATTTGCAAAAAAGCTTTTTATGACTAGGGTCAAGTATTGAGGTCATTCCTGAAAAAGCATTACGTTAAAACTGCACTTTAAGCTGCACTAACTGTTTGTAATGGTTTGCTTTTGATAATGAAGTAAGATTAAATAGTTGGGTGGTGTGCTATTAAAGCAAGTGGGCATTTACTAATTGCATCTATTTGTATTTGGTCTTCTTTGCATCTATAGGACCAAATGCAAAGGGTGTTGATTTGGGAACATTAGCAAGGAAAAAAGGAAGAGAGGCATTGAAATCGACAGCAAATGCCCATGGTGCTCCTTACAGGATGTACAGTAGCATGATGGCCAGGGCTTTACCTGAAAGTAAGCCCCACTGAATACAGTGGGACCTCAGGTAAACATGCCTACAGTTACGCTGTAAGAGTGTGAGTTTGAAGTGGCTTTAAGCAAGCTACTGTTCCTAAGTCACAGCCCCTAGGCTGAGGTGTTATATAAATAGGTAAAGGTAAAGGGACCCCTGACCATTAGGTCCAGTCGTGACCGACTTTGGGGTTCCGGTGCTCATCTCGCTTTATTGGCCGAGGGAGCCGGCGTACAGCTTCCGGGTCATGTGGCCAGCATGACTAAGCCGCTTCTGGCGAACCAGAGCAGCGTACGGAAACACCGTTTACGTTCCCGCCGGAGCGGTACCTATTTACCTACTTGCACTTTGACGTGCTTTCAAACTGCTAGGTTGGCAGGAGCAGGGACCGAGCAACGGGAGCTCACCCCGTCGCGGGGATTCGAACTGCCAACCTTCTGATTGGCAAGTCCTAGGCTCTGTGGTTTAACCCACAGCACCACCCGCGTCCCTCCATAATAAGCAAGTTATATTTCTGTTTCGTCTTGGATATGTTTATTATCATAAGATTTGCATTTTCCTCTCAGAGGAAATAGGGGAGTGGGGGGAGAGAGTGCTGCTGTACTCAGGTCCTGTTTGTGGGCTTCTCGCAGGCAACTTTGGCCATTGTGAAAACACTATATGTAGATGGGCCACTAGCCTCATCCTGCAGACTTTTTGTTAAGTTGTGGGCAAACATATCAGACGACACAGCGATTCTTCAAACAGCTCTTCTTTATTCAGATGCCAGAACAGAACTAAGCTGAGGGGCTCAGTCAGCCTGCTTATATAGAGCTCCAGAACAATGTAACTGTTGCCATTTTCTAAAACTATCCAATCACTGAACGTCACTTTTTGATCCTTCATTTGCATACAAAACTATCCAATCACTGAACGTCACTTTTCGATCCTTCATTTGCATAACTATCTACAGTACCCCCCTGCTGGCCCAGGGTGAGAACTTCAGTACATAACACCTTTCTATTGTTCTTATGATATCAAGAAGTAATACTTGATATCAAGAAGGAGCAGTTTAGAGCTCCTTACTCATAATGTGATGGTAATCTATACAAAAACAAGCCTATAAGGTAGGCCAGTATTACTTTCCAGGGATACTAGTCCACTTCTGTTTGACCCTTTTACTGTTTTGATACATCAGCCTTTGGAGTAATAGTTTGCACACTGTGTTCTTGTACTACCGTGTCCAGCTAATACAGATTAGAAATATTATTGCCAGTGCTTTGTACAACCTGTCGCTAACATTCAGTAAATATTTCGTAGTTGTATTCAGTTTTATTTAGATGGTGCCTCTTTTGTCTGAAACTCATGCTTGGAATTGTACTGCCTGAAAGGGAAATGAAAACACTTTAAAAACCTGGGTGGTGTTTTTGTCAATTGCTCCCACCCTCCCCCCAAAAAGCGTTGGAAACATTTTGATTTGTGTAATCTACTTTACGTCGACTGCTTAGTGCTCTGCTGATGAAAATGAGTAAATTGCTAGGAAAGTCATCATCCAGAGATTAAAAAGTGGCATGACCTGATTATATTGATGCATGCCAAAAAACCCTACAATTTAGCAACATAGCGTAGCGAAGTAGATTTTGGTGAAATCATTTTATTGGAGGAGCTAGAAGGAAAACACATCATACTGAAGGCGAATCTGCATTATTAATTTGGGTATTTTAACTCTGTAGCTGGTCTCCCTTAGCTGTTTGAACATGTGAGAGAAATTATAAAAGTTATCTGAAGTTAGAACAGGGAATGTTGGTGGGTCGAAGCCAGGGTGTGTGTTCTAAAAGTAGCCTTCAGGAGCGCCTAAACATTACTGAAGATGTCTGGAACAGATCCTTGCCAATGGCCAGTACAATAAAGTTATTTGGATTGGACAAGATGCCAGAAAAAAAGAGTGCAAGAGGACTGTAGAAAAATCTAACACCACTTCTGTTTAGTGCGGGCCATTCAACCACAGTGTGCTATTGATCAGTATATTAATGAGCATTCATTGTAAGAGGCTTTTAAGGGTTGCATCTAATGGTGTACTCATCTGATAGTAAGCTTTCCATCAATGGGAGGGAAGCAGTTGTTGGCAATTCCTGCTCTTCCTTTACCTCACCCTTTGCTGGTAAATCTCCCCCATTTTGTTGACAGAAACCTTACAGATTAGATGTAAACGTGTGTATCACTTACGCAAGAGACAATAGCAAAAAAAGGTGCATCGATACATAGTGAAACACAAACCAAACAGTAGTTTGTATGGGATCATAGCATCATGTCAGTAACTTCAATCCAAATGATACTCTCTTCTGGGAGGAATCCAAAGCGTGAACAAATAATGGACTTGTAGTTAGCATGGAAAGATTCAATCCCTCATCCCCACTCCTGTTTAATGTAATGAAATCTTCTGTTTTGGAGTTTTCATATTATCTACAGTGTATATAAATCCTGTGATGCATGAGAAAAGATTTCCCTATCGTATCCCTCAGAATTTCAGCTCCACATTAGAAATAAGCTGGCTGTTTTGTTTTTCCCCAAATGTGGTGTAGAAATGTAAATTGTTGTGTTATCTTGTTTGATTTATATAGGTTTGTTCGAACAGTACTACCGTTTTCCCAGGAATTCCAGAGAGATAAGCAGCCTAATGCACAGCCACAATATCTGCATGGATCAAAGGTTAGAATTTTCCCATACTTCTTTTTTTCTGTGGTAGATGTTGGAAAATTACACCCCACAGCTTATTAATACTTGCACCGTGTTTCTTTATTATCTTCTATCTTAAGCATATTTGTACTGTATAAATCATATGATATAATTATTTGTTTGATTCTGAGAGATACACTAGGTAAAAGTGAGGATTAATGTACCGAGGTACTGGTCCATTTCAGACACAAACAATATAGGATTTTGGCTTTTGTGTTTTGCCCCTCTCCCTTGCGTGTTCTGATTACCTTTGTTTCTCCCCCTGGTTTGAACAAACTATAGTTTGCTGCGGCATCAGAATAATAGAGCAAACCATTTATTGCATCCAAAGCAGAACTGGAAATCGTGTTTGTGATTTGAAGTTTTGTGGCAGATAGTAGCTCATGGGACACCTGAAAGACCTAATGCAGACTTACTCTGTGTTAGAACCCAAAAACAATGATTTTCTGTTCTCATTTTACTTAAAGCACTATGTGTGAAATATAATCACAAATGACTGAAAAAAATGGTATTCAGTATCACTGAACAGTAAAAGAGCAGCGGCATCCTTCATAAATGGCCAACGTAACATCTTTAATTTTAAAGGGAGGAATAAAACCTTTGAAAATAACCAATGAAAACAAACCATTATTAAGTGTTAGGTGAATGAGTAGTCTCCTAAGAAAGACTCGTTCGGTATATATTTGGCAAACATCTACCTTGTGTGGCAACTGAGGTTTTTTTTATTTGTCTATCTTAGTTGTACAACCTGTTAGATAATCCACATTTCAGTCTCCTTTATGGTATTAAAAACTGGAATACATCACAGATTATTTACACATTGCTGTGTAAACGAAAACCGAAAAATTTACATGTTGTGAGGCTTAGGTTAGTACATTAGCAAAGCAGTCAAGAAGAGACAGCTAGATAGTTATATGCTAAGAGAAGCATCTATAAAGTACTACAGTGATCAATGAAACATCTGTACACTTTTCTTTATAGTTGCACAAAGGCATGTTAGCTTGGACCGTTGACACATAATACATTCCAAATGTCACATCACAAGTATAACTGGTATATGACGATAACTTTCAAAAATGGTACCACTCCTAGCAAAAGCAGGGATGGGGAACCTCTGGCCCTCCAGTTGTTCTTTGAACATCCTTCATCACTGGACATGCTTGCTGGGACCCATAGGAAACTGAGCCCAACAGCATCCAGGTTCCCCATATCTGAGCTAAGGTGTTAAGAGGAAGAAACTCTGCATGAAAAGACTTCAGGGTAGAATTCAGGGACTATTTGAAAGCAGGATAATCTCTTGATACACTCACCACTAAGATCCCATTGCCTTTTTTATCAATTGTTTATGCAATAGTTGGAGATGAGTGAACTATTATAACCTATGTGGATACCATTTTATAGCGGTTCCAATTGACACATGTTGGCTAAGACACACAAAACCAATTCTACGCTTGTAGGGGAGTTTTGGATTCAAGTGTCATGGCAAATGACAAACCCCATTTGAAATCAAGGAGGGTTTCTACAGTTCAAAGAAATAAATGACAAAACATTGAGTACTCTTGTGGCATGCCCGAAGTAGCTCCTTCAATCCCAGCTGTTGATTCGTTTTTTCCTGCCCCTTCCCATGCTTTCCTAGAAAAATCAAGGAGGCTATTCTATATCTCCCTCCTATGTGTAGTTTTCTCTGTAAAGAAACAATGATGAGATGATTTAGCTTTGTATGCTGCAGGAGATTGTGATTTAGGGGTGTGATTGTATTCAACAGGGCTTTCAAGGAACGATTCACAAATAGATTTCAACATACATATTGTTACACACAGCAAAACACTTGTCCCAGTTAAGGATATCTAATTTATGGCAGATTGACACACAGACATAGGCACAAAATCCTGACTTTTGGAGCTCAACATGGTGGGCTTCTCAGATGTTGACGGATTTGTAATTATGGTGGCTAGTTGGACACCATCTGTATTTCTAATTTCAACTCGTTGGGTGTGCTGGGTCTGCTTGTTGAATTCCTCTGAACCACACGATTCATTTTTTGCCCATGCCTCTCCCTTATCTTCTGGTTCAATGCTTTGTCTGTCTGAGCTCTCTCTTCTTCTGCGGCACCATAGACGCAAGCAACCATAGACAAAGATGCCAACAATGATGAGAAGCAAGACCGTGCTGGTTAGCCATATGCCCACGGCCAGGTCTTTCTTTTTGTTGCTTGTGGATGCCGGGTCTTGTTCAGGGGTGTTAAAAATTATGCACTGGTCACTGGATGGGTTTGCCGACTGGCACGTTACACACAGAATGTAAGTTGTTAATGGGATCAGATTCTCAATGACAAACGAAGAACGGCTAGCTGGGACTCTCTCCTCTTTCTGAAAATGTTTCCTGGTGTATCCTGACAGCATTTTGTCCCAGTTTGGATTGTACATGATGCTGTAAAAGCTGTCGGTGCAGGTCGCCATTTTGGGCCAGATTACTAGGGCTGTGCTTCCTGTTATGTTTTGTACTGTTATCCCCATTATGATACTGTCTTCTCAATATTTCACTTCCACAAACAGCGATAATCCTTAAGATTCAGGAGACCAAAAAGTTTCAATAAGCAGAGTTGAGAGGAAAATGAGAACTGCACTTCTGGAATTTAAGGGTGGGTTGGGGAATAATTATTTGAAAACATTACTTGCATTCCTGAAAGCATTTTCAGACAGTAATTTAATTTATAATAAAATATAGTCAAATGAGACAAGCATGTGTCATTCAGACATTTACTTACTACACCACTCTTCCTTTAAAAAACAAAACAGAAACTCAGAGAGGCTTACACGAAGCTCCTAGTGGCCTTCCATCCACGCACCAGTCAATTTTTTAAAAAAAAAATTAAGGTACAGAACTGGATAAAACCAGGCTTTTTAGATCCTTGCTTCAAATCACTTAATGCTGTTGGAGTCATAAGACATAATTTGAAGTGCATTTCCTATTTAGTTGGAAATCAAGTTTCTTAAGTGGAATTATTTCAAAGTCATGGAATCTTAGTACAGTGGTACCTCTGATTACGAACTTAATTCGTTCTGGAGGTCCGTTCTTAACCTGAAACCATTCTTAACCTGAGGTACAACTTTAGCTAATGCTGCTGCGCCACCGGCACACAATTTCTGTTCTCATCCTGAGGTAAAGTTCTTAACCCGAGGTACCACTTCTGGGTTAGCGGAGTCTGTAACCCAAAGTGTTTGTAACCTGAGGTGCTTGTAATCCGAGATACCACTGTACCTATATTTTAATGGTGTTTCATTGGGCATCTAATCAAATTAGCCATTGTTGTGCTTCATTTTCCATTCTTGCCCCTTGCGCTTCCAAGCCAAGGCACTGAAAAACCTATGATGCAAAATGAAGCTCTTCATTGATACAAAATACCATCAAATCCAATTTTGTCAGGGAACAGTTCTCGTGTTCAAAGAGAAAAGCTTGCTGTCCCACATTACTTATGGCTTTGAAATTTAATGCCACATTGACTTCTTTATTAGTTACCCTCTGTATAAGGTGATAGTGTAGAATTTGCTAAAATACCACTCTGCCATTCACATACCCTTTAAAGTTGCTATACCCATTCCTGGTTGACTTGAAAGATGTGAATTGCACTTCAGATATAAAGGATTTAGCTTTCAGAGAAAGGGCTAAGCCTTGTTCAGCATTCAGAATTTGCTACAGTTGTGAAAACAAACAGTAACTTCTCGCAGGTGGTTTACACTGACTTTTAATGCTGTATTGTTTTTAACACTCGATTGGGAGCTGCTCAAAGCGGCTGGGGAAACTCAGCCAGATGGGCAGGGTATAAATAATAAATTATTATTATTATTATTATTATTATTATTATTATTATTATTATTACCTTCCCTGCACACTTTTCACCAACTATGCCCATGCATGAGAAAGTATCGTGCAACTTGACTCTGTATTTAAGCATTGCATATTAGTCATCTTTTAAGTAAATGTGACAAGGTATTGTTTATGACTAATAATATTCAAGTAATAACTCAAGTATTTCATGCAGAATTACTCATAGTCACAGAAAGGAATCAGTTTTGCATCAACATATTGAATTATATATTTAGGCTAATACATGGGAACTGTTTTTCTTTCCAGTTTGTGTATAAAATTGCTGCATAAAAACCTCGCTAATAAGTTTGGGTTGCATCACTAATTGCTCAATAGTCTTAAAGGATTGTTACATTTGTTGATGTTGTAGAGTTAAGTGGGAAACATACCTTACTTAGGTTCAGTACTAGACCATAGCAAAATCAAATTTTAATTATATTAAAGCAACCCCCCCCCTTTTAAAGAAAAACACCTGTCTCCTGAGAACTGATTTCTCAAAAACTCTCTTTCAGAGTTTGTAAGTTTTAGGTTCTTAGGAGAAATATAATTGTGTTTTGTTTTGCTCCAAGCTGAGATAAACAAAAGTAGAACATTTTTAAAAAATAAAATATTTGATTTTCAAGAAAGACAAACCAAACCCTGAGAACTAGAAGCTCATTTTCTCTTATTTTCATGAACTTAACAGTAATGGCAAACCTACTGAGATGCACCACCGTATTGAACAGACATAAATTATTATAGGAGAGGTGCATCACAATAGAGAAATTATTCTGTATTTTATTATTTTTACCAGATACAACATTATTTTAAAGCTGTAAATGTACATTTATTCTTCTGTTTAATATTGCATAGTTGAGCTGCTGTGCCTTTTAATAGCTTAGAGTAAAAATGTGTGATTTGAGGCTTCTACCTCTTATCTGTGTAGTCTTCAAACAAAACAGTCTCTCACTCCCTCTTTCTCATATTCTCTCTCTCTCATATATATATATATATATATATATATATATATATATTCTACATACAAACTCACTCCATCCCTCTTGCATATTCACATACATATAAGTTAAAGGCTTTCTTTGCTGACTTGCTGAGGGAGAGTGCTCTGTGTTATTTTATCCAGTTTTAAGAGTCCATACTTACCATCAGTGTAAAAATCCTGAGGCTTTCATCAAATACTTGAGGGGAAACCTCCGCTGGGTTCTCAGTATCCTCCTTTGAGCAAATAGCTTTCTTCATGGTCCGTGGTTGCCAGTTTCCCCCCTAGCAGGCTACATGGACTAAGTTCTCATTACGTGACACTTTGACAGGGATGCGAGCAAGGAGACCTCCTTCGTCACCTTTCTGCCAACCTTCATACGCAAGGGCATCTTGTCTTAAGTGTTCTGTTGCCTAGGTTTTCCGAGGAGAAAAGCAAGTCTTCACATTCTCTTGCTTATGCTCCCTGTTAGAAATTGGGCAGCTGGAGTGCTCCAGTTAGGTTCTTCTTTTGTGTTGCCTGGGCTTGCGTTGCTGCTGATGCAAGTGAATAATGCTCTGTTCTTCGGTGACATCACTACTTAAACTCCTGGGCTTGGGGAGGAGGGGGCGTCGCTTTAGGAAGAGCATTTTGACTTGGTTACCTTGAAGCAGCTTCTGTCAGATTGCTGCTATTAATTTGTCTTCTCTATCTCTAGATTATATGGGTTTACCCCTTAAAAGCAGTTTCTCTCAGGTTTGGCTAACATATACACATCAACATTACGCATTAGAGCTGTTACATGTACATAGCATTTCTTGTATAACATAACATTTCTTGTATAAAGAGTTTTAAATCTTTATGTATCATTTCTGAAATATTCAATGCTGACTGCTTGTTGGCAACATTTCTCTCTTTAGCAGACACAGTTGTCGTGCCACTACTTCCTTCTAGAGCTTTTCTGTTGTACTATAGATCGTGTGTGTTTGTATGTGTGTGTTTCTGTAAAAACACACACACATATGCACATGTACAAACATATATATAGTATGTAAAAGGGGGGAAATGAAATTTAATCCATGTAGCTGTGCATCCACTTCCAGCTATTTTTTCAGAATCATATTTGCAGCTATTGGGGGGGGGATTCAAAGCCTTCAATGCAAATATAAAAATAGGAATCTCATTTAAAAACCAGAGTTGCTGCATTATTTTTTCCATCCTCCAACACCAAGGTTGGAAATGCGGAAAGAAGGGGGGAAATTATGTTTTCGAGCCAACTGCATATCCCAAATGTAATTAGAAGACCTAATCTTGTAATTAGATGTAGAAGCAATGTAGCTTTGTAAGATCCCTTCATAAACTTTCTGTGTGTAGATATATACTGCAGCACTCAAGAATGTGCTATATTCCAGCAAGCATTCATTTGTAGCTTGATATTTCAATAAAATATTATCCATCAACAGGATTTAATTTTACCCGGAATTCTTTTGTGCATAGATTTCGATAATCTACCATTCAATAGCAGCTGTAGCTCCCAATTAAGTATGAATTGCTTCTAACGTAATTGTTTTACACAGTACAGGGTTACAGGTGCACTTTGGGAGGATATAGGTATCCTTTTTATATTTTAGTTTCTTCCATACATATCCCACCAAGCCAGCATACATGTGGTTCCCAAGCAGTGACCTATAGCTCTCTTCTCTTGGGCCTCAATTTCCAGGATTCTCTGCTTAATTCTATATTTCAAGTAAATCAAAACACCTACCAAAAACACCTAACATTAAGCCTGGAACAGGTCATAACACTTTTCACTAAACTTTACTAAGATTCCCTTTAGCTACAGGTGTATTTTCTTCCAGTTCATATTAGCAAATTTAAATTGTCCTAGGGTTGCTTAACTACTGCAGTTTGGTAATTTCAAAACAATGTGATATTTTTCCAGTTAACAAAGGGGAGGTCAGTGCAAGGTTTTGACTTTGAGTTTAAGAATATGTTCAAAAATTCTTCTGTCAGAATTCTGTTTTTTTATGTCAGTTAAATGCTTTAAAATAACTTCAGCATATTCTGGTTGATTGGTTGGTTGGTTGGTTTCTAAGAATTGTGTGTTACCTTTTTTTATAGGTGAGAGTAGAATGAAAAGTTGATACTTTTTCTTCAGTTTTGAATGAAAATGTTTGATCAGAAAAATAATGTTGTTTCCCATGGAAGGATCTCTTAACAGGGAGAAAGGTCAGCCAACTACAATTGTGTGTGTTTTTCTTCCTCTTTAGGCTTTGAATCTGGCCTACTCCAGTATTTATAGCAATTACAGGAATTTTGTTGGCCCTCCCCATTTCAAAGTCATCTGCAGACTCTTGGGATACCAAGGCATTGCTGTGGTAATGGAAGAGTTACTGAAAGTCGTCAAGAGCCTGGTACGTTGTCCCACATGCTGTGTTCTTCATTTCAGTATTGATTTTTAAGGGAAGGGGAATTGATTCATCTTGTTTAGTTCACTGAGCATCCAGCAGACATTTACCTGACTGGGTAAGCACAAGATAACCATACGTGCTTCTTGAGGTAGAAAGGAGAATAGTTTGAGAACAGCAAATAACGGCGGGGGGGGGGGAGCCTTCTGTGTGAAGAGACACGCCTGATGTGTCTGATACTGAAAGCATCCTCACACATTTTAAAATTTAAATGAACCATGTGAGTGCTTTGCATGAAACGAATTCTTGTTTTTGAGGATAGAGAAAAAGAAATGGTGTTTGTGTGAGAGAGACTCTCTAGTACTTAAAATGATTAGGAAATGAACAGACATTAAAATCTTGCTATGTAAAACTCCTTGGCTTGCACAGTTCTGCCTACAACGACAAAGTACAGTGGTACCTCTGGTTGCGAACGGGATCTGTTCCGGAGGCCCGTTTGCAACATGAAAAGCCCACAACCTGAAGCACCGTATCTGCGCAGGTGCACGGGGTGATTTGGTACTTGTGCGCTTGCGCGGAGGGCAATTTGGCGCTTCTGCGCGAGCGGCAAAACCCAGAAGTAACCCTTTCCGGTACTTCCAGGTCACTGCAGGACGCAACCTGAAAAAACGTATCATGAAGCAAACATAACATGAGGTATGACTGAATTTTGAATCTGGCCCAGACTTCTCTTAAATTAGGCTTAAAATGCTGCATATTCATTCATACCCCCATGTAGCAGTTTGCCTTACCAAAAAATAATAATAATAATCACATTCACCACCATTGGGACCTTTTTTCCCTAAGCCTACGGGAGAGAGAGAAGGCATGGAGAAGCTTAAATGACTATATGTGGATTGGGGTTGGTAGTGTAGGAATGTATGTGACTGAGATGTCCTTCCTTGCCCATTTCTGCCTTCCATCTACCACTGGTATGCAGCCTCAACTACTTTCCCTTGAGGGAATGCAGACTTCAGCTTAAGAGAAGTTTCCCCAGCTCTCTCCTAAGTCTTGTGTTAGAGCCAGAAGATTTAATGAACGTCTTTAGGTAGCCATGCATAAGGGAAGTACAAATCAGCAGATGATAACCAGTGGCATTAAATAAAAAATGCCCCAGTTTGCACATCTCTCAGTTGCTGATCCCCCCCCCCCCGCCTTACTGGTTAAAGCAACAGCTAGGAGACTTTTTCTCTCTTTCTCCTTTCAAGCCTTTGTGACCATTGTTCCCGACAGTTAATTATATATTGGGCAAAACAGGAGAACCTATCCATTAGTGCATATCAGATTGACTTTAGTTAGTCTTCAGACCTGAAGGCAAAACAAGTGGTTGGCGTACTAGGAAGACCCTTTGCTGCAAAATTAAAGCTCTTGGGTATGACTCACATTTCATAAGCAGACGAGATTAAAAATTGGTCTCGGTGAAACCAAGAAACACCCGCACGCCATTGTACTGTTTGTCTAGAATGGCTCCAGGCTAATATAAAACTACTGGTTATTTCTGGGTTTTGCCTTTACAGGGGAACATTGGGTCTGCTTGTGCATGGGAGCTTCCCCACTCCTTCTCTCCCACTGCAGCCCCATGCACACAATCCAAGATGCCTCTCCTGGTTGTTAGAGGGTAGACTTGGCAAAAGTTAGGGCGAGGCACCATGCAAGAAGTAGCTTGAGCAAAGCTGCTTTTGCCTGTTTTGGGTTATTCTTCCCCCGCCCACACACACCATAAACACCACGTTCAAGGTCTTTCCAGGTGATCCCCAAACCATAGAAGAGCCTCTAAATGGGCTTTTCAAATATTTAGTATGTATTTCAGAGTTGGGGAACGTTTTTGGTTCTTTAGGCCAGATTCTTACCAGCATTCACTTTGTGGACCAAATTAAACTGTTGGGTGGGGTTGCCTACCTTTCAAGCATATTATTCAGTTATGATGTCACATAACTGACAGGTGGACATTGCCACCCACCTTTCAAAATCCCTCGTACTGGTTTTCCAAGTGCTCAACAGCTAGGTGGTTGTCAGATGTTTGGGAACATGCTGTAGCTTCAAGGGCCTTCTGCTGCATACAAAGAACTTTAAGACAGCCTCCGCACTCCCCTTTGAGCCTTCTGTAAGCCCTTTACAAAAGTGCTCTTTGAAGGACCTGCCCCCTCCTTCTCCTTTAACTATTGGAGTGAGCAGGCAGGCAGCAGGTGGTACGGGGCCGGGGGTGAGGCAGAGGAGAAAAGGGGCTGCCTTTACGATTTGGAATAGTAATACGCCAGCTCGTGTTTATTGTGTGTCACAGCCTGACTTCTGTTTTTCTTCAGCAATACTAATCACCTGTGTTCTTGCAGCTCCAAGGCACCATTCTGCAATATGTGAAGACGTTAATGGAAGTGATGCCGAAAATCTGTAGGTTACCCAGACATGAGTATGGCTCCCCGGGTAAGTTACCTTTTAGATCATGTCATTCCAATGTACAGAGCCAGTTTTGTTCCTTGGCTTTAGAACATTATTTAACAAACAGTTTAGAGAGGCAAACAGTACTGAACAATTTTGTTCTCACATTGTCATGCAGTGTGTTTCCATATTTTCTCAAAATACATTCTGTGGGTATGAGAGCAGGGCCATCTCTGGGGTGGTGGCAAATAGGGGACACCACCCTGGACCCCTTGCCTCGTGCCAGTGGTCACAGTCAATGCCCGACCAGACTTCCCTGTCTGCCATCCATCTGGCAATGCTTCTCAACTCCTCCCTTCATATAGCATGGAAGGAGGTGGAAGGAACTCACTGGCAATGCTGCCTTTAAACATCAGAAAAATAAAAAGTGTAAGCCACAGGTGGGGGTTCACTGCTGCTAAAGTGCCAACAAAACAATGGACAGTATCCAACTAGACAGTTCTGCCAGAGCAAGGTTTTTTGTTGCTGTTACTGTGCAACAGAACCTTCCTGCCCTCTATTCTCTTCCACTGCACAGCTAAAAGCCCTTATGTCAATAGAACTATTTAGTTGGATAACACCCAAAGACAACAAAAAGTAAGATGTGGGGAGGAGGGCTCAGTAACGCCACCTTTGCCAATGATAGCAGAGGAAGTGGAGAGATTAAGGCTACACAATGCGATTT